TCTAGCCGGACCGAGCGACTTCCGCTGGCCGCTGCGAGTTTGCAAAGTCATTCAAAACTGGGGCAATCGAGCGGCAGGCGGGCCGGTGAAGGCGTTACCGTCGCGGGCAGAGAGATGCGAGTCGTGGCGCGTATAAAAAACAAAACTATTCCAATTCCCTACTGTACATGTACACACGCGCGCACATGTACGCGCGAGTTAGATGTTCATCTTGCCGTTGCTGATCTTCTTGACGAACTCCGCGAGGAACTCCCTGTAGATGATCGGGTCCATGTTGTGCGCGAGGCCGTAGAGTATCCACCAGTCGCCGAGGTTGACCTTGCTGTTGACGCTCCGGCAGATCTCGATCGGCAGCCTCTTGGCCGCCATGTGCAGCAACCTCGGGCGAAAGCTGGGCGCGAAGATGATCAGCAGCCTGTACACCACCAGGCCCAGCAGCAGAAGGGCCATGAGCAAGTGCCAGAACCAGAAGAAGATGTAGGCCTTCTCGTTGAACACGTTGAGCGGCAGCAAGCACAGGGAGTCGTGGGTCTGGATCGTGCCGGACGGGCCGTACTTGTGGAAGATGCACTTGGTCATACGGGGGAACACGTAGACCATCGGATCCACCCGCTTCTCTTGGTCCATGTTGCTGAACTGCAGCACCCGCGTGCCGTAGCTGAAGAACTCGCCGCCCAGAAAGTGGTTCATCAGGTAGAGCTGGCCGATTATGTTGACGAGGCACAGGAACTCGCAGACGAAGTATCGATACACGTACGACGTGTGACGCTGGAAGCAAGCGCAATTCGTCGTTGAATTAAGGCTGATTGGACTCAATGAGCGTGAATTGGGCTTAACGCGGTCGTCTCCCTCCCTCCCACTTTCTCTCTCTCTCTCTCTCTCTCTCTCTCCCTTCGTCTCGCTCTCGCTTTCCCTTCGCTCGTCCTCCGGCATGTCCGCCTTGAGCGGCCATCGCTTAGCCGACATCTCGCTCTGATCTATTTGTACATAAATGCAGGCGCTCGCGTGGGTTTTGCCACATCGAGGGCATCGACTCGCTCGGCTCTTTCACGCGTTGCTTTGAGAAGAAAGGGAGCAATCGTCATTGTTGTCGCGCCGCTCATAAAACCTGCATTACCCTCGTCGCCAAAGAGCGACGGCATCTTCACCCAAGGCGATAACCCTGCCGAATATTGACCAGTCGACCAGAGCGGAGTACAGCTCTTCAGCTTTGAACGGAGACGTCCTAGTGGACTGGTTCGCGGCGAAAAATTCCCGACAGATTTATCGACGACGGGCTTCACCCCCCCCCCATCCCCCGGTCGAGACTGCGTAGATGTCGTCAGCCGATGACCGATAACTCGCGTCCCGATTATCTCCGAGAAGGACGTTCGGGAAGGCTTGGGCGGCTTGGAAGAATGACGTAAGACGGGATGGCGCGATAAGCGACGGTAGCGATGACGGGATTGTCATGGTCGCAATGACAATTCGCTTCCGCGGTGTCGTCGGAGATTATCGAGTGGCCCAAAGTACACGAAGAGTGTCCCGCCTTTGCGCGGAGATAAAAGTCCAAAGTCCCTGGTCTCACCTTCATGTTCAGCGTCAGGTACTCCATGAGCACGTTCTTCTTCTTTTCGATGTTCTCCTTGGTGTCCATGCTAAGATTCATGCCCATGACGATGGTCTCCATCAGGCCGTTCTCCCAGGCATTCCACAGCCATTGCGGAAGCCAGCACAGGACCCCCTGTCAACGGGAGCGGCAGACGATTAAGTAAATCAACAGACGCGCGTACCGAGAAGAACAGCATCGCGGCGAGTGACGCGATGAATTTCGTTGAAAAACGCGCGAGCAGCGGGAGTTGTCGTGGGTGTTCCTTCGCGTCATTTACATCGTTCGCGTCCCTCCACCCTCCCCCCGACTCTCTCGCTCCGATCACAAATGACGAGCGCCGGGACATTGAAAGCCTAATCGAATCCTCTTTTCGACACGAGACACGAAGACCCACACGTGACACGGCGGTCCACGGGAGGAGTCCCCGTGACGCTCGAGAGCCGCCTCGACTCGACCTCGACCGTCAAGGTGCGCGAATATCGGAGCGACCACGCGACCTCCCACGTGCGCGGCCAGACACAAAAGATAAGCGCGGATCAGCGGAAAGACAAACGGACACAAAGAGCGGGCGTTCTCCCTCTGTCTTTCTCTCTCTCTCTCTCTCTCTCTCTCTCTCTCTCTCTCTCTCTCTCTCTCTCTCTCTCTCTTTCTCTCTTTCCTCTCTCGCGTCGCACGTGTGGTAGATCGCCGATAATGGCAGAGACCGCCTACCTGGAAGAACAATGCGAAGCAGACCCACTGGTAGTACGTGTAGTATTTCCTCGCGGAGAAGTCGCCAAAGTCGTTGGACACTCCCGGATGGGCAACCTCCTTGCCGACCTGCGAACATGCGATACCTCAGTGAGCGGATAACAATGAGACAAGCGCGATCTGCGCGTGTGGCGTAATCGTGTCACCCGATTCACCATGGCGGGATATCAAGCCCCGGGAGGCTGATAACGAGAAACGCGGCCCGCTTCGCAGCGTTTTGCTGAGATCTGGCGAACTCATCTCTTGAGAGGGGCAGCTGCCCCCCCCCCGCCCCACTAAGCAATTTCTTTTTCTTGAGATCTAGAATGAGATTCCCGAGATTTGCCGAGCCTAATTATTCCATCTGATTGAGATACATACAAGGTGTCTGGAATCTTTCGGGAACGAAAAGTTGTGAAGATTAATCAGATGAAACTGAGAGGAAAAGTCAAGTGCCATTTTGCAAAAATCGCAACAGTTGTTGATTGTAGAAAATGACCACACCTGGAGGGTCTTTTAATTGGCAACTTGAAAATCTGCGTACCTATTCGCAAAATGGTAAAGGACTCTTTTGTTCAGAATGACCTGATCTACAATCATATGACGGCTATTGTGCCCAGCGACAGGTTCAAGACTCAGGGTTCAAAGTTCAATGTACTCATATCTATCGCTAGATACAATGGCCGTCGTATGATTGTAGATTAGGTAATTCTGAACAGAAAAGTCCTTTACCATTTTACAAATAAGCAGGCAAATTTTCAAGCTATCGATTGAGAGCCGCTAGATGTAGTTCATTTTCAATTATTAATAACTTAATGACTATTGCAATTTTTGCAAGATGATATATAACTTCTCTTCTCAGTTTGGTCTGATTAATCTTCACAATTTTTCGTTTCCCAGACACCCTGTATATAACATTTTAATTGAGATATCATTAAAAGGCAGAAAGGCTTTTCTTTTTTAAGAAAGATTTTTTAATTACTGACGTTATAAATATCAAGTTACTGTATACAAAGTGTACCAGAGAGAGAGAGATGAGTACACCGGATTAACTTGAAGGGATGACATTTTTTGGAAGGAAAAAAAAAAAGAGTTAGAATATGCTGTTACAATAGAGTGTCCTAACTTTTGTCAACTTTATGACCTATTTTGAAATTTCAAGATCATCAAGTTAACAAAAGTTAGGGCACTGTCGTAACAACATATTCTCGAGACCGAATAAAGTAAGAAAGCCACTTAGTTTTTCCGGCAAACAGTTACCGAGGTATTATAAAGCTGAATCTTGAAAAAGTTACCAAGCTTTCCCCGAATATCTCGGGAAGTGTTAGACAGATAAAAAAATATCTCAGGCAAAATTCATTCAAATTAACCGATAGAAAAAGATGATGCAATAAAAAGTGCGGATTTCCACTTACGATTCTAAGTTGACCTTGATTTGACCTCTAGGTTTGATCTTTGGGTCAAGCTCAAGTTCACCACTAGATGCCCGTTTCCAAAGCCTAAAATTTTTGTACTTAACATTCTCTTCAACAACCCGTCATCCCGTCAGATTAATCCGGGGTATCCACTTTTTTCTAGCACACCCTGTATATAATATGATACTTGTGGTAGAACTTAAAAATTTTTCAGGGACAAAAGCTTCTTTGTTCTTCTAGTATGATATCTCAAATGAGACCTCGTGTGGGGGAAACTTTTCGGAAATTTCACTTACACGGCTCTTCAGCGGCGATAAAAATAAACGACCGGTTTCTTACCGCTTACATTTTACTGCGATATTCTCACCTCTAATAGAGACGGAACTTTGCTCGAATACGATCATATTTACATTTCCTCATTTGCAAGAGACTTACTCACTGTGTAAAAACCGGTACCCACCGAGTAAATATTACCTATCCTATCCTTTCTCTCAGAATAGAAAATTTGCATGCCGCGGGAGAAGAAAATCACTTCGTGTCGCTGGTGGAGGCGGGGGGGGCGGGGAGGGAGGAGGGGCGAGTGCAAAAGTCTCGTTGGCTTCGCGATGGCAAGACGGACCAATTTCACCAAGGACGATTTATTCCTCGTCGTCCACCACGAGCATACATCTACATATTTATAAGTGCCGCTACAAAACTGGATCAGCCGCGTCTCCAGGAGACTCTCTCGGCGGGACCCTGACGCTCTCAACCCGCGACAAAACAGCGGCGCTCCTCGCGCGCGCGCAAAAGCAAAAAGGGAAAAAAGAAAATGAAAGACCCGCGCGCGATCGAGAGGGAACGGGCGGCTATCGCGCGTGGAAATCAGACGCCGCTTATGTTAACATCGGCTACTGACCTATCGGATCAAAGTCGTAAACGCGACGGACAAATCTCTATTAATAGCAGCGCGGTGTCGCGTATACCGCCGCGCCGGCTGATATCGCGCGCAGGCCGGCGCGATTACTCGCCGAGACGAAAGGACTTGATTATTGCCGATGAGTCAACGGCTCATTTTGAAGGCAAGGAATTCCGGTCGATCGAGATTTCTCAATCATCGAAGGAATCTCGGACTAATCACCGCGAACAGACCGCCGCCACCTGCGTATCGCGTTCACCCGCCCACCTCCCCCCTCCTGGCGCGATCGTATCGACTAGTGGCGCGTAATCGCCGTTTAATTAGCATACGCGATAACTTGGACATGCAGTTCCATAGGTGCCGCTCGTTCCCGGCGTAACGAGAATGGACGGCGAGGAGACTCTTTGGTCGCAGAGAGTCCGTGCATTAAATTTCCAAGTACAAACGCGCGCGCTGAGATCGCGGCTGCAGTCGGGATTTCGCTCGCGGAAGGTCGCGACGATGAATGAAAGCGCACGAACCAGTTTTCCGAAGCGCTCGAAAAATACGACCGGTAAGATCGCAGAATCAGCGGACGAAAACGGCGGAAAATCGCTTCCTCGGATACGACCGAAGCGCCAAGTCTGCCGGTCGAGTCCCGGTTGAGATTTCCCGAGCGCGTCGGGCGACACGACGCGATCGGTCGGGTGAAAGAAGCGACGCGCGAAAGAAGACCACCCGGGGAGGGGGGGAGGCCGGAATGACCCGAGTAGAAAAATTTATAGGGCTCTCTGGCAAGGGCCTGATTATTTTTCCCTAACATTAATCGAGCTCTGATAGGGATAGAGAGACAAGGGCCCTACAAGATGTGTAAGAAATGGTCTTAACGGGTCCTTATAAGGCAATATTATGAGGGCCTTGCAAGGCAATATCTCAACAGGGCCTTGTAAGGAAATACTTTTATTATTGCCCGAGTAAAATTACTTGTTCTTTTTATTCCAAGAAATTTAGACTGTAATTTCTTTATTTCTTTATAACCTTGTTAGTATTTTTTTATTTTAAAAACATAGCATACTTAACAATAAATATAGTATTCTTTGCACATAAAAATCTTGCTACTGTTTTTATTAAAGTTTGCTGCACTTCAAGACGAAGGCAGTACTAGAAAAATCCTTGGAAGAGACTAATGAATACGGCAACTAATAAAACTAATAAAATTTAATCTAATAAATAAGGCTTTGACAGAGAAAGTTGAGAGGGGCTTTTAGGAGGATTTATTAGGGATGTCTTAGATTTTACGAAATAACGCTATAACATGGAAAACTGATGTGGATCTTAGAAGGATCTCTTAAGGATGCTTTAGATATAGAAAATCAAGTGTCATAGAAAATTAATAAGATCTGAAGCGTGTAATAAAATTGCCATCATTTAGTATTGTTTTAGTAAGTACGCTTTTCTGGTTTTCTTGAAGATGTTTTTATTATACCGCAGTTAAAAATAAACTTTATTGCTTTTATTAGTTGCCATATTCTTTTATTAGTTCCATATCCAAGAATTTTTCTGGTATTGTCTTTGTTTTGAAATGCAGTAAACTTTAGTAAAAACAGCAGGATTTTTATGTGCAAAGAATGCTATATTTTATTGTAAAGTATACTATATTTTAATAAAAATAGCAAAAATAGGATTTTTATGTGCAAAGAATGCTATATTTTATTGTAAAATATGCTATATTTTAAAAATAAAAAATTCTTGTTGTATACTAACTTGTTGTATACTAACAAGGTCACAAAGAAATAAAGAAATTACAGTTTAAATTTTTTTAAATGAAAAGAACGAATATTTATTCAAGTAATAATAAAAATATCGCCTTATAAGATCCTGTTGATATTGCCTTATAAAGACCTATTAAACCGTTTTTATTACACATCTTGTAGGGTTCTTGTCTTTCTATTTCTACACTGAGAGAAAAGTATATATTTGGAACTATAATGATATAACTAAATCGGTAATAATTACGATACGATAGGCATAGTATAACCAAGCATATAATATTTTTACTAGAATTACAGTAAGTTAAACTAAAGAATTACAGTAAGTTAAACTAAAATTATTGTGTGGATAGAAATATAAAATGGTAGGTAAAGTAACTCTTTTATATAGTCAGAATATTTTCTAAATGATGACTGATGTAACTATATGAATATTAAATCTCACTATATTTGTGAATGAGAAATTATCATATATGTGGTAAAAGTAACTAAACAATTATTTAAGACAATCATTGACATATATATTTGTGTTTATTCTACTACATTTTGCAGATTCCACAAACTATAAAAATATGATTGACGCCAAAGTGAACTGTAAAATATAGCGAGATTATAGTTAATTCAACTATATTTTTCTATCAGTGCAGGGTCCGATTAATGTTGGGGAAAAACAATCAAGCCCCTACCAGAGGCCCTATTAATTTTTCCGCTCGGGGAGCGACGCGCGCATTGTTTCTCCTCACGATTTCGTTCCTTCGCGAGTCGCCGCGCTGAGCGCGGCGCGCAGGTAGATTTCATTTCAACCGCGACATACGACACGCGCCGTTGCGACAACCGCCAACGTCAGCGGCTGACATCTGCGTGGAATCTGACCCTTAATTAGTATAATCTGCCTGCATACTCGCCCGTGAACGCCCGGACGCGTCCACCTCGCGAGCGGCCCGAGGAAAATCCTGCCGCAGCGACTGGCGAAGATCCGAGCCAGGATGGGAAATCGCGACTTCCCGACGGAGGCTCGTACTTTTCATGAGAACCTCCGCCGCGGTCATCATGAACGGCCTCGTGCACGCGGCGGGTACAGGCTTTTCCATTCTCGCTGGCCTTGACATATTTTGCTGCCCGGTGAGGAGGAGAAGGACATTTTCACCTCATCGTGGGCACTTGGTTACAGATCATTTGCGACGAACGAGCGCGGATAATTGATCGCGGATCGCTTTCTAGGTTATCGCTGAAACAAATGATTTTCTCGTCTCGTTCGCGACCCTCGCAGTCGACATCTTGCTACCGTCGACTGCGGAGCCTCGGGCGGCTTATTTACCAATTTGTAGTATTCATACTCGAAGAGCAAACGATAAAAGTGAGTCACAGCTACTGCTACAACGGCGCGCTCATGTTTCCGCATTCGCGTACACCTCGAGCCGCCGCTGTCGAGAATCTTCGATCAAGCTCCGCGGCTCGAACTCTGATCGTTAGCCGGCGGTGAGCAAACACAAGTGTCGCGACCCGTCTCTTATTATCGCCGACAGAGCCTAATCATCGTCGCACGCGGCGGATTCACTTTCGCCGATGTTTACATAGGCTCCCCGCCGACACACTCATCGACGTCTCAGCGACACCTGTTCTCGCTCGCGTCGCGTCGCGTCGCGTCGCGTCGCGTCGCCTCGACGAGAGCGAAGAGGCCAGCGCGCGCGGCTTGTGGGGGTAGCACATACCTGCCGAAAGTACGCGTCCGGCATGGTGAAGGTAGACGTGATCCAGCAGTAGGTGTTGACGACGTGCTCCGGCAGGCCTTGGACGATGCAGGAGATCGGGCTGCCGACGTACTGGGTGGCCGTGAGTATCGCCGAGCATGCCAACAGCATCACCGCTGTCAACTTGTTGTGCATCCTGAAGAGCATAGACTCGGTCTTGATGGGCGAGCTTTTCAGGTACTGGCTCAGGCTGCCCAATAGCTTCAGCATGATTGAGCTGTCGACTGCTTGGCCGGGCTTGCGACGATGAGAGTCTGTCGCTTGGGCGACTTACGAGTGTAATTCCCGGATCAGCAACAGAGGTCCTGTCCCGTGGCTTCAGCTTCTCTATCTCCCGCGGCGGCTGTGTATCTCCTCGAAGACGTAGCGTCAACCGGCACTAACGAGTGCACTCATCGAAGTCGCGGCTTGCGCGAACCAAAGCAGTAAAACGAAACGAAGAGACACCACGAGCGTGCACGAGCGGTTGTCCACGCGGCCTGCCTCTACCTCCCTCCCTCCTTTTTTCTCCTTCGTCTCTTCCGTCCCGTCTTCGCCGAGGCCGTGCCTCTTCACCTTCCTTCTCTGTTGCCCCTTCTTCTCGTCTCACTCTCTCTCTCTCTCCCGCGCGCGCGCGCGCGCGTGCGTCCGCTGTTTCCCTTCTCTCCCTCCAACCAGCGGTGCCCTTTTTCCAGCGTTTCTCCCCCTTCTCCTGCGCTCCCTCTATCGTCGTTCTATCTTCTTGTGCCCGTAGCTCGTTCTCTCTCGCTCCTCGCTCCTTCTATCTCCTCGGACGTCCTTCCTTCCCTGAACTCTCATGCGAGTTCGGTCACCGAACCACGCTAGACGAGTTCCCGACGACACTCTCGATGTGTTCCAGTTCCTCTCTTTCTCTCTGTCCCTCTCACATAGCTGCCTCCCGCGAATAGAGAAAGAGAGAGGCGTCGTCGGCGGGCTCGCTCCTCTCGCAGCTCACGCGTTAGCGTGAATCATTTAGCGAGCGGATGATAAAGCGCGCCGAGTCGCCGCTCGCACGCGGACGGGGCGGCGGCGTCTTTGTCTCTTCCCGCCGCTTCCGGTTGTCCTCCCCGCGTCCTCCCCTCGGGACGATCCCGCTCTTCCGAGTCGCCGACTTGCTGCCCCTCCTTCGATGATCGGCCGAGGAAGCGAGGCCTGTTGCTCCTCCGCCGGCACGTGGTTCCCTCCGACTGCACTCGCGACTCCTCAGGTGTAAACAAGCGCGACGCGGGATCCCCCCTCCTCTCCTCAGCCCCGTGTCCGAAGAAGGCTGCAGGATCCTAACCGGCCTCAACCCTCGGCGCGTCTCGAGCGATCCTCCCGTTTGCGAGCGCGAGGCGCGCGTTAAAGGTAAACAGCGCCGGATATTCCCTTCTCGACGATGAATTCTCTCTCTCTCTATCTCTCTCTCCCCTCTTGCTCCTCTTCTTTCCCCTCTCTCTCTTCCGCGACGCAGAACCGTGACAGAAGAGCGAAGACGCCGCGGACGATCGCAACGCGGCCGCGGACCGTCGCGTATCGAGGAAGCGACACCACTACCAACTGTCAATCCTGCAGACACCCCTTCTCCCTCCTCTCCTCTCTCTCTCACTCTCTCTCGCTCTCCCTCGTCCCCCTTCCTGCCGAGGCCCCCTTCCACTGTACGCACATACGACGCGAGACAAAACCGCGTAGCGATGGAACTCGTCGCTATAGGTGCCCCGTCTTCCGTCCCCCCTTCTCTCTCTCTCTCTCTCTCTCTCTCTCTCTCTCTCTCTCTCTCTCTCTCTCTCTCTCTCTCTCTCTCTCTCTCTCTCTCTCTCTCTCTCTCTCTCTCTGTTTCTCGTTCCAGCAGAGGAATAAATTACACCTTCCCCGCCCTCTCGCGGCTACTCTTCCTCCACTGTCGCCGCCGTGTACTTCTTCTCACAGAAGAATACCGTGAGACGGACGCGCGAGTGCGTGAGAGTGCGTACGCACGCAGTGGCAAGCAACAGCGGCAGGAGCGAGCAATACGTCGAGCGGCGACTGACGAGAAGTCGCGGTCGTTTGTTGTGTGCCGTCGAGGGGGGCCACGGTGGAGGGCGGCGCGGCGGGGCGGCGGGGGGCTGCAAACGCAAGCGAGGGTACGAAGGGACCGGCGGACGCCGGTCGGCATGGAGGGGAATACGGGGCCCATGGCTGGGGGAGAGTACGCCGGAGGGGGGCGGGGCGCGGGGGGCTGAGCAGACGCGCGCGGTGGGCTCTACAATGCGCGCGCGATCTATAGTCGCTGCCACGCGCTCCGTCGTCCGCTCGATGTTATTACCGTTAGCAGCAGCACGCCGCGACGGTCCTTTTTATTTCCAGCGGCATTCGCCTTTCTCCCCCTCCCTCCCCCCGAGCGGGAGTGCGCGCACATGTGCGGGGTGGCCGGCTCCCCCCGACTGCCGAAGGGGAGAGCTCGAGGGAGCGACGTCTCGAGGTCTGTTGGCTTCGGGGAGCGCGATGAGCTCGAGCGGGGCGAGCTCGGCGTTTCTGTCAAGCTTGATCGACCAACCGACTTGTCGTTCCGGCGGAATCGACCAATCGCATCTGTCGTTGATCGGGATCGACAGATGCGACTGGGCGATTCCGACCAGTCGGTTAAGTCAGCCGTTGGTGAAAATAGGTATCAATGCGTTGAACTTTGTTTCCTGAGATATTTCTTTTTCAGTTGGGTAGTTTGTTTTTCATTCTGCAGCTTGTTGCTCTGATTGTGCGCTAATTGAGAAGCTGTTTGGGGACGAACTGACGCGACGAGTCGGTGGACGCTTGATTTGCGAAAGTAAGATAGAAGGAATTTTGTTTCTCCTTTCTTCTTTCCTCTCTTTCTCTCGTTCTCTCTTCCCTTTTTCTCTTTTTATTGTATGAGAATCTTCTTATTCGTTGTACTATTGTCTCAATTATTGCACACCAAAAGACCCGTATATTATTAATAAAATTAGAAAGAAGTTAAATTAAAATTGCAACGAACGCGCGGCAATTTCCCCGCGCTCGCGAACGCGACTTTGAATCGCGCGCGCGCGACTTCTCGCATCGCTGACTCGATCTTTAATCGCACGTTTGAAGTCGCACGGAACATTGCAGACGCGATCTCGAGCGGCGTGCGATTAATCGCGCGAGCGCAGGCACCTGGTTGTGCCTGGTTTAAAAGTCAGCTAGATAGAAATCAGATGAAACGTGTAAATTCCTCCCAGCGCTTTATGCCGATTAAGGCTTGCAATCGTACGACGCAAAAACAGATATTTCAAAACTTTGCACATTCCGCGGTAATGCAGACTAAATTACCTGCAAACGTTACCTCCTCGGATAATTTTGGCAACGCTCGCTGAATTCGATCAGATCCGTGCGGATGAGAATAATTTACATCGTCTAGATGAAGAGATAATGACGTCGGCGCTTTATCTGGATGACCATCTACGCAATTTTATGCAGATGTGGAGAAGAATTAGATTCTTCTTCTCTCTCGAGAAACTTTCTCTATTGCCTCGGCTCTCTGCTTTTTTCTTCTCTTTCCCACCGGGCGCATCTTCTTCTCCCTCCAAGATTCTTTTCAACCTGCGAAAATGTACTTGGTTCTTCGAGAGAAAGAGAGAGAGAGAGAGAGAGAAAGCGGGCCTATTGTCACGTTGGACGTGCGCGAATTCGAATATTTCTTACACATTGTTGCGCAAGGTTTCGTCAGACTCTGCTCTCCGGCCGCCGCTATCTCGGCTGGAATCGTTCACCGCGCTCGCGCGGTTGCGTAATTATTTCGTGGAAGTAAATCATTTCGACCGTTTGCGGCGTTCAATCGCCGCGGACCTTTTGTATTTGTCAGCGACGCGTGAAAACATTAACCAAGTCGCCGTGCATGGACAGGTAGTGCTGCGGAGAGAGAGAGAGAGAGAGAGAGAGAGAGAGAGAGAGAGAGGGAGAGAGAGAGAGAGAGAGAGAGAGAGAGAAGAAACAAGAAACACGTTTCTTACGTCGTTGCATGGAACATACTCGGGCTGGGCTTGTCGGCTGTTTCGGGGCCGATTGAAAATTTGGTCACGTGCCTACCGTGTTTCATTGTAAACACACGACGAAAGAAAAGAATTCCTAGGCGAGAGAAAAGGATAACGTCGACTCTTTCGGCCTCTCTTTCTCTTCCTCGTTCTCTCCATTCGTCAATTCGTACGGCGGTTTTGATGGAAGAAACGAGAAGAAATCGGTGAACGAATGTCCCGATTCTAACGAAATACCTCGCGTGATTTTCATTAGACTTCATCTTTACTCTCTTCATCTTTACTTTGTTTTTGTATCAAAATTATTTTCATATCAAATTTGTTGTTTTCGCTTCATTCTCGTTCCTATCATTTTTACTTCATTTTTATTATTCGTCTATTGCTTGTTTTTCTCTTACTTGTCTCTCATTTACTGCTTCATTTTCATCTTATTCTTGCCTTTCAATGTTTCTCTTTTCAATTTTGGATATTCCAATTTTAACGGTATACTCCACGTGATTTTCGTCAGACTTCTCTCTTCTCTTCCTTTTCATTTTTACTTTGTTTTTGTATCTAAATTATTTCCACACTAAGTTTGTATACTTTTGTCATCTTCGCTTCGCTCTTGTTTCTATCATTTTTACTTCGTTTTTATTATTCTCCCATTTCCTGTTTCTCTCTTATTTGTCTCTCATTTACTGCTTCGTTTCCATTTTCTTTCTGCCTTTTAGTGTTTCTCTTTTCAACTTCGAATATCCTAATTTTAACAAAATATTCCACATGATTTCCGTCTTTTGCTTTCTTCATCTTTACTTTGATTTTGTATCTAAATTATTTTCATATTTGTTATTTTTGCTTCTTTCATTTTTATTATTCTCTCTCATTTCTTTCTCTCTTACTTGTCTCTCATTTACTGCTTTGTTTCCATTTTGTTCCTGCCTTTTAGTGTTTCTCTTTTCAATTTCGGATATCCCAATTCCAACGGAATACCTCACATAATTTTTGTCAGACTTCTCTCGCTTTTTTCATCTTTACTTTGTTTCTGCATCTAAATTATCTTCATGTCGAGTTTATACATTTTTGTTATTTTTGCTCCATTCTCTATCGTTTCTATCGTTTTTACTTCGTTCTTATTATTTTTTTATTGCTTGTTTCTCTCTTACTTGTTCCCCATTTAGTGCTTTGTTTTTTCATTTTATTCCCGTTTTTATGTTTCTATTCTTAGTTTCGTCTTTATTTTTGTCCCAACTCTTATGTATATATTATATATTATATACAGAGAGTTCAGCTTCGGCTTCACTTTCTCTTCCGCGCTCAGGTAACAGTGCGAGCGAGGCGATATCTGAAATGAAAACTATCGAACCTTAATCGCTCTCGCAACGGAGCATTCATCGCCTTGAACCTTCCAACGAAGGGCCAGCTTCCCGTCTCGCCCTTGCGTGTTTTTTCACCTGCGACCGCGCGTTTTTCTTTACGTCACACATGTCTCGTAAACCTACATTTTCCAAAAGAAACAGTTCACATTCTCCTCACCGCCGCCGCCGCCGCCGCCGCCGCCGTTCCTCGTCGTCTCCTCGTCCTCCCGCGGGCCGCGACGCAACCTTCCCTCTGGACTCGCGGCAGACCCGAGCACCGCATTGCATTTCCTACACGGAGCGCGCGACGTGCTCGCGTTTGTGCGTGAAAATTCAGCATGCGAGCCGGCGCGAGCCTCGACGGTGAGTCACTTGCGCGTAAGCGCTACTCACTACTCCGCCGGGGATTCGATTCCATTCATGCGGATTCGCGATACACCCGTGGCCACTCGTGACAGCCCCTCCCTGTCCTCCCTCCTCCCCCCGCGGCTCCTCGTCGCCCAGCGTATCCGAGGACTCGGAGCGCACATATGTGCCGCCGCCGCCGCCGCCGCCGCGCTGCAGTTTCCCGTCGCCTCCGTTGCGGCCCGCGCTTCATGAACCAGATGGACGCAACGAGGTGACGCAACGAGAAACGGCTCGTGGATGCCCGTCTTATGCAACGCGAATCTCGCGGCGCGAGCCGCTCCGCGAGCGTCCTCCGGCCTCGCGGCCGAGCGCGGCTGATTGATCGGAAAAGTCCGAAGCGAGAACTCGAGGCGACGACTCGTCGTTTCTCTCGGTTTCGTAGCTTGTAACTCGGCTGTCGTTCGCCCCTGAACAGTATTCGGCTGCGTTCAAAGTCGGTTGAGGGGAAAGAAAGCAACGATGGCGCCATTGGTCGGGACAGACTCCACGCTCTCGCCTGATCGAAGGTTGTAACACTTTTGTGTCTCGGCGAGTTTCGTCACGTATTCTGCTCCCATCGGAGACTTGGATTCTCGGGGGATTAGTAGAGAACAAATTCTCCTATTGGCGTATTACGAAACTCGTCGGAGAATGGCGCTACGACCTTTAACTGGCCGATTGTACAACCGAGCTTTGAGGGATCTTTCTTCCGTGAGGAATTGAGAGGGGAAATTCCTTCTTGCCACGCGCTGGGAGAAAAATATCGAAAGTGAAAAAAAATATTCGGCGGATATTTTCACTGTAAAAAAAAATCGTTTCCTAGAAAATGTACATCTTGAACTCGCAGCTTTTTTACTCAAAAGCGATTATTTCCAATGAG